ATTACTATATGGAAAGCAGCAATGTAGATATGTAGCTAGTACTGACTGTGTTACCAGATGACTAAAGAAACATTTCTGAAGAGAGTCAGGGAGAAAAAGACCTTTGAAATTAAGACCCAAATCTGTGCTGTCCTAATGATACCTGTTTTCTACTACTTTGCAAGTATCAGCTCAAGTACATTTTTTCTGTTGAATTTTGGCAACAGTTTTAGTGCATAATGCAAATTATCTTTTAGGTATGATCCAAAAACAGATATGTGGACTGCTGTGGCATCAATGAGCATTAGCAGAGATGCAGTGGGAGTATGTCTTCTTGGTGACAAGTTGTATGCTGTTGGAGGATATGATGGTCAAACATACCTTAATACAGTGGAGTCTTATGACCCCCAGACAAATGAATGGACACAGGTATAGTTTCTGATCAGACCGTACGCTGCTATTTATCCTCTTGTTTCAGGTGTGCCTCTTTTTACAAGGAGAATTCATATACTTCCCTTAAGAAGCACTTTCTTACTAGTTTGTTGTAAGTTTGGTTTTTTTCTTTGTCTATCATCTTGAGATGATTTATCTTGAACAGACAGTTGTTAACTTCTAATAAACTGTCCTTCTTTGGCAAGAGTATAGCTATTTTCTTTGACAGTTTCAACTGCTGCTAATAAAATGTATTGACACATTCCCCAAACTGTCATAAAGGGTTCCGTTTACATGAGTTCCTATTCTGAAGATAAATTATAAATGTAGATTCGTTTTAGCTCTAATGTGTCTCTCAGCAAGTTTATCAATTTCTTCAAGGTTTTGGTCATCTTTTCATAAATAATCCCTTCCTGATGTGAATGCTATGTACAGTGTGTGCAACTTCCAGGAAGACTTTTCCCATTCCTCTTCACCCAGCTCAAAAAAAACCCAACAAAAAACCTACAATTCATGATCAGAAACCATTACTGTCAATTCAATATTTTATGAAATATTGAGGGAAAAAGGAGAGATTGCCTCTGTCATGGTTGGCATTTTCTCTTTGAGAGAAAAATGCATCATTTTGCCAACCATTACTCGGTTGTCAGACAGTCTAGCTCACGTGTCCAGTTTGTTCCATAACAAAGGATTCTTTTTCCTGTAATACCAAGTAATTGAAATTATCAATAAGAATTGTTCCATGTTCTTGGGGTTTGCTATTGCTTTCAAAGTGCTTCACTGTCATATAAAATATCTTCACCTTTACTGTGGGGTTTTATCCAAGTTTTGGACCAATTTGCAATTTTGTTTTAAGTCACGTTGACAGAGTATGGGTGATATTGCCACTCTCCTGCAGCTGTACAACTATTACTACAAGCATTAACTAAACACTGTCAGTTTTAGGAAGAAAAAAAACCTTAAAGCTGACTGCATTTATCTCACAGAGTTTTTTGGTTTGTTTTTTTTTTTTTGCTTACAGGTTGCACCGTTGTGCTTAGGAAGAGCTGGAGCATGTGTGGTGACTGTGAAACTGTAAATTATTTTCTCTATGAAGGTGACATTCTCCTCTGTAGACTCAGATGATTTCTTTTTTCCTCGAGCAAACTACCAGTGCACCAATAATCACAAGGTGCAGGATATCTACCACGGCAAAGCATTTGGTCTCAAGCTAACATGTACATATTCTTACAGACCAATATTAAGCACTTTTTAAAAAATCATCTTTGTTACCCATATGTTGCAAGAATTCGATTTGTAAGAAAATCAGCTGCAACCAGCCAGTTGCCAGCAAAGGACTTCACTTCAGGAAGTGCTAAGAAATGAGTACACTCATTAGTGAATTCACTATATGGAATGTTACAGATCTGGGGCCTTGATCCCCCAAACATGCAGAGGAATGATGCTATAAATGGATATATTTCCACTGATACAATTGAGTCTGTCTCTGGGTGAAACAAGTTACGGGATTGGACCCCATATGTTTAATTTGCCTATAATAAACATAGGTTTTGGCTATAGGTATCTGAGCTATTACAATGCAGGCTGGCAAACCAATGCAAACCATTGTAAATGGCGGGTGTAATGCCTGCCTTAGAAATGAAGTTATGTATTTGGTGAATCTTTTGCACTTTTATCATCATTCCTAGTTTAGCAAACTTTTTATTTAACCAAAGCCTTATTTTAAATATTGTCTTATTATGCTAACAGAAATCTGCTATTTAATAATTTTTGCTGGAGTTTTTTGACATCCAGTGTACTTTTGGGATTTTCAAAGTTTTTACATGAGATGCGAACATCATGCCTTTTTCTCGACTTTGGTTCTTATATTTGCGTTGCTATTTTTAAGGAAAAATCTATGAGCATGAGTTATTGAAAGAATTCTAAAGTGTGACTAAAAGTTAACCAATTTAAGTTTAATATTTGCACTTTGGAATTTTTGAAGCATTCCATAATTAGACTAATTACACTTTTACATGAGGCTTTGCACTAATTTGAAAAGTATAATTTTATAAGATTAAATGGAACAATTGTCTATCTTTCCAGTAAGGTTACTTCAAAATGTAAAGGGCCCAATCTTGCAAGGTGCTTAACTGCCACCATTTAAGAATGTTAAGCATTTTATAGGAGAGTTACGCGTGCCTCGCAGGATTATATCGGATTAGTTACCTTATTTAATAGTTATCTCATTTTTTCAGATACTTTATAATTTGCCTTTCTTGAGCCCCATGCTGTTAAACAGTATTGCTTTGAGCGGTCTGAATGTTCTCAGAAAGTCTTTTTGTATTTGCTTTTCTGTGCCTTGTTCCTTATGTTTTCGAAACAGTAGGTAACCTGTGTGTGTGTGTGTGTGTAATGGAAAACGGGAAGATGTGAGCTCGTTGAATGTTTTTCGAAAGTTTGAAGCATCTGATACCCAAAGTCTTTGTACATTTGTAATTTTAAATGTGTTAATGCTCTCAGTGAACTATTTATTGTTTTAAAAGAAATTACTAAGCAGTGAAACTCTGTGCTGAAACCTGCACTGTTTGCAACTGAATACAGCTAAACTTAGACGCAGCGTTGCTGGGGTGGTGCCTTTTTTTTTTTTCCTCTAGCTTACGGTCCATTTCGTGCACCCGTATCCGCGACTTGACAGGTCTCTTTAAGAAATGTTATTTTTACTGCTCCTCTTCTGGTTTTAGAAAGACTCGTCTTTCCCTTTCAACGCTTCCCCCAGGAGCAGCTCCGCGCCGCCCGCG